TTCACTATTCTGGGCTATGTTGGCATTATGTATCCTGAATTGTGATGGCATTTACTATCATGAACTGTGATGGCATTTACTATCATGAACTGTGATGGCATTCACTATCATGAACTGTGATGGCATTCACTGTCATGAAATGTGTTGGCATTCACTCTCAAGAAATATGTTGGCATTCACTATCATGAACTGTGATGGCATTCACTATCATGAACTGTGTTGGCATTCACTATCCTGAATTTTGATGGCATTCACAATCATAAACTGTGTTTATGTTTTCTATCCTGAATTGTGTTGGCATTCACTCTCAAGAACTATGTTGGCATTCACTATCATGAACTTTGTTGGCATTCTCTATCCTGAATTTTGTTGGCATTCACTTTCCTGAATTGGGATTGGAGTGTCCTCCCGCTGACAACTTAGAGTAAGCTTCATTAAGTGCTAATTGACTTGGCACAAATTGGACTCAGCAGCATCAACAGTAGGTCAAAGGATGGATTAAAATTGAAATTAATAAAAGCACTCAACCCAACGAGGTGAGGAGACAGTAGTCGATCATATGTGTCATGGCTGTCGTACTAGTATTCGATTGATTAACACAGTCACCTTCGAAGTCACTCAGATATTACATTGACATCTGGACCCATCTATTTAATTTATTGTGTATATGTTCTGATTCTTGGCTTGTCTTGGGTGCATCCGTCCCAGGTTCTGGCTCAGCTTGACTGACATCCCAGCTCTCTCTCCTGTTGACTCTCTGTAGAGGAAGAAGGAATGTGTCAAGCTCAGCTTCAGTGACTCTTGTGTGTGCTTGTGGTGCATTTCTTGTTGGCTCAGCAATCTCCAGGCATTCACCTCAGTTATAACAACATTTGTAAAAACTGGTCAACCTGTACTTGTGTAACATACGAGAAAAGTTCATCCATCTTCTAGTTTCCTATTTGCATGCAGTGGGTTGTCCTTCTTGTACTGACTACGATATTTCACAACAAATTTTGGTAGTGACAATATGGGTCATAAACAGGAGAATGTAGGATTCTATCAAACTAATTCCGGATCCTGACTCAACTAAGGACAACAACTGTGACATCTGGACCCGGTTGCAAATGTTGACTCTTAGAAAGCAAATAGTATGCTGCAGATTATCTCAAACTGTTGTCACTGTTGTGACCGATTTCCTTATTTGTGAGCAGAACACAAGCGAATCTGAAACCTTTAAATATGAAACCAACATTTGGGGCGGAGCGCGGGCAATGCTCGTAACTGGCACGATTTGTGTTTTTATACATAATGTGCATAGTCAGTATACATTAACTGAGGTACACTAAAGATTTCTCCAAACGATAATGCACTGCAAAATAGCATTGCCCCTTGTATAGGGTTTCAAGTGATGCGTAGAGGTTTCACGCCAATGTGGTTTCATGTGGCAAGTATCATGTATTATGAATAAACAATGTAATAAGTGAGATGAAATGGGCTAAAACGTCGCGTTCAAGATTATTGCACTCATATGGCTTGTACCAGTCCTGAATAATGCCGATTTTAGTGCTAGCCCACAGTTACCATTAGACAAAAAGGGACCCAACTACCGTTACCTGAACATATTGCCGCTCCGTGCCGTCATGGTCAGTTAAGCCATGCCTCTGCAACTCGCCTAGTCATCGGAGTTTCTCTAAGTCAATGAGTGAGGAGTCTGACGACTGGTCCTCCAAGCTTCCCCCACGAGCAATCATATACCAGCACACACACACACACACACACACACACACACACACACACACACACACACACACAGACACAGACACACACACACACACACACACACACACACACACACACACAGGGATGAACACAACACAAGGTTTGATACTCAATTAAGTTTACTAAGTTTCAGTCCAACAAGACAGGGTAGGCTGTTCAAAGAGTGGGTAAACAGGGTGAACAGGGAGATAGCGATTTGCTTCTGTCATCTGCAAAGCTCACACTACTCTCCTGATGTTAAAAGTATTTTTTTAAATTGTTCGAGTCTGACCTGTCTTTGTCACATGTCTTGACACATTAATTAAATACCATATCAGATCATAAACTCACGTTTGTGTCATGGTTGAAAGATACTGTGAACTCTTGACCGATTAATCACTGTGTTTTGTTTCTGCATGTTCAAAATATGTGAATTCATAATTAACTTTAAACTGTAACCAAGGAAATAATACAAAACTATTGTATTGAGCTATATCTCCATCATTACCAGCGTTAACATTTATACAAGAACATTGTACTGATTAAGGAATGACACGTCATCATCACATATTTACATTCACATTTAAGTACTGAATACATACTCTTAAAAAATGGATGGATCATGAGATGAATATGTTAAAAACAAGTGTTGACGACAAAAGACCTATGCAAGATCGTTAATGTCTTTTCAGTTGTGATTACTTGATTTTTGTATAAACGAGCTATTCGTAGTCGGCAACTATTGTATTGAGCTTTATTACCCACATGGTGAAGATACAGGTGGTAAGATAATAAATCCGTACGTCACACGTGTGCCGTACAAGGTTGACCTTGTTTTATTCGTTTTGATTGGATAACCGTGACTTCTGTCACACCCGGACTACTTTCTTCTTCCTTTTTATTTGCAACCACAAGGCAGAACTGAAGAAATAAATGAGAATGAGAGATATTTACAAACACTTTATTAAACTAAACAAAATGGTCACAGGCATCAAATTCATTTGCATTCTATATAAGTTATGCATAGAGCTTCTACAAACATTATATAATCGAGCGATATCCATTTACAATGTACGACTACCGATCAATAGAGCAAGGGCCCCCATGAGCGTGACGCACCTGACCACTTTCGTAACTTTCAATTTGATTTAACGTAAAGGGATAAGCGTTGTGTAATGAAGTATGTTTAAACTATCTGGACAGATATTTAGCCTTTCTTTGGATGATCCGGTTGTGCCATCAGTGTCCCCTTCGAAGCGTATTTTGTGGCGCTGTTTCGGGAGATGTTGTTCATGAATGAACGTACCCGACTGCACTACCACATCACCAAAAGTGAACAGTTCCGATAAAAATAATTCGAAAGCTCCGTGGAAGTGCGCCTGACTTCTGATTTTGTGCCCCAAAACATCCCAAATGTGAACAATAACATTCCCTATCTCTATCGTAAAACGCTGTGAGTAGGCCTAGATCACGGTTGTCTTTTCATATTCCGGTGGTGACCTTGCCCTTCGATCGTTCAAAGCTGTCACTGACATGCAAGCAGACTTGAGTTTGTTGATTTTCACGTCTTCAGTACAGGGTGGTACAGTTAACATGAATGTCTTTGGCGAACACTCTGATTTCCCTCTTCCAAAATGGTACGATGATATAAATTCTGCTGATAGATCAAGGAAACCGAACCATTTTGACTGCACAGACGGGACACCGGCAGTGCGAGTGACCGACTGTTAGTCCAAAGCGCGGCGCTAATGTGACTTTTCAAATTTTCATAAAGGTGTCCTTCGTACTAACAACATGGCGCTTGAATTACCTTAAGTTGAAAAATTTCGTCCATAAGGATCTTGAGCATCGGTGCTGTTTTGTTTGCAAACATAACTGCAGGGGCATGTTGTTTATGCGTATGCATAGACATGTCAACAATGCCAATATTTGGGCATATATGAATATTCATGCGCAACCAGATTTTGCAACCGGTTTCAGTTTTGTCGGTCAACTAACGAAAGTTGTAATGTATTTACACTTAAATATATATTTAATGTGGGTACTTTCATCTCGCTTTCGCTCTGTCAGATACTATAGAAAGTCCACTTGTTACGTTAAAATGGTATCTAACGAGAATGAGTGTAGTATTCTCTATATATCACCATCATTACCAACGTTAACATTTATACAAGAACATTGAACTGCTTAAGGAATGACACGTCATCATGACATATTTACATTTACATTTAAGTACTGAACACATACTCTTAAAAAAATGTAGGGGATCATGAGATGAATATGTTAATACAAGTATTAGAACAAAGACAAGTGTTGACGACAAAAGTGGAGTGGAAAGGTTAACAAAGTTAACAAAGTTAACATACTAAAACTAAGCAATGTCCTTTTTTATCCTTTCATAAAAAACATCTGCATCGTCTTGGTCTAAACGTCGAAATCTATCAATCTTTTACAAGTGAAACGAGGCATAAACTGTGGAAATGAAATCGAAGTCTGGAAAAAATGAAACATTCGACCCACCATAAACACAGAAAGCAAAATCTAAACAAATCAATGAAACAATACCAAAATTGAAACAAATAAATTGATTCTGGCAAATAGCAACCATTGTTGGTAAAATGCAGAATGTGAAATTCAACATGTCAACTGCTCTCTGAAATAAATGTATTTACAAAATGTCCTTATAATTATGTACTCATTGATGACGTAAACACACGCTTGCATCCATATGGTTATGAAACTAACCCAAACCCGGACATAACCCAATTGATACCAAAAGTGAGGTTAAGTACGGATAAAAATAAAAATTATCTGTCTCAAAAAACCTTGAGAAGGTAGAAGGTGACAATCACATCGATCGACAAAACTCAGTCACAGGCTTGTTCATAAAACGACTGTACTCTTCCTGCCAATGGTAGTATTATGACAGCTGAGGCTTATACAGGTTAGGATTGATTAACAGTACCCCCCGCGTCTGTCTTTGTCTGAAAACCCTCATTACTAATATATATTGACAGAATGATAAAATTACACACCATTTTGTATACAAAATGGGATACCTCACTTTCCATATTGAACGCCATATAGTAATCACCAGGTAGTCATTGTGATTACGATTTTCCTCTTTCTCAATGCTGCTTTTGTCTATGTTAATGTCTGTCAGATTGTGCAACATTTGGTGACTGACTGCAGTTAATTTGACAAAAACAAAACAAAATACAAAATCCTTTGTAGACGAAGCATGCTGTGGTCACAGTGTATCACTCTTCGATTGGGGGTACATAGTTCACTACTGTTTCCGGCCGCTCAACAAGAACCGGTCGCACGAGGTGAGTGTACGTGTTCTCGTCAACACCTGACTCCTCTGACGTAGCAGCATCATTGTCTGCACTATCGCAGTCTGGTGCAAAGCAATCAGCCAGAACAGGCATGACAGGGGCAGCTCCAGCTACCGAGTCGTCTCCTCTTATCCCTGGCAGCTCACACACGATGTCAACATCTTCGTCTCTGATTTCACAGTAGTCCGGGGGTACCTGGTCCTCATGACTTGGTGCTTCATGTGGAATAATTCCCTGTATTTTGTGCTGTCTGTGAATAAGAAAAAAACCGCATAAATCAACCTTTATGGTGGCGTCATGTAAATAATCAAATTTGCACCACCTATTATGATCGGCGTCCCTCATCATTCCAGGCTACTGAATGTCAAGAATTCCAGCTTGATAAGCATTGGTTACTTGGGATCTAGATCTCTTCTAAACGATAATTCCCACAGGACAAGTGCATAAGTACATAATTTTATGGTACAAGTGGCATGGTTATGTGTTAAGAAACCAGTTAAACCATGCACATATCTATTTTAATTAAAGTAGTTGTTGATTATATCTATTTACTGTACTCACTTAAAAGTTCTTAAATGTTTGCAGTAGACGGGTGATAAGGCCAGCAGGATGATCACTACAAAAAGTGAAAAGGCTGCTGATAGTCCAATCTTCAGGTCAACAATGTCGCTGTCACTATCACCTGTAAAATGATATGTAGAAGCTTATTCAATAGGGGCAGTTTTCAAATAGGCATCAAAGGACACATGTATGGGAACACCATCAAAACCCTCGAAGGACAAGGTAAATATACTGAACAATAAAAGTTCCTGCGACATTGAATAAGATTTTAAGCAAAGTTATGTTTTTTACCAAATTTGAAACAATTTCGGTTTGCAACAGATAAGACTCCTGTAAGTGTTCAAATGGTTTAATTTGCCATACTGACTTCAGAACATGCCTGATTTCATAAAAAAAACCAACATGAAAATGCCCAAACGTCAATTTACAAATCAATACCGTGTTTTCACCACCTCTGGTTGCGATGCGACCGCTTCCATGGGCTAGTGGTAGAGCGTCCGCCCGGAGAGCAGAAGATCCGCGGTTCGATCCCCGGCCGCGTCATACCAAAAGATGTTATAAGATGGTACTTGTTGTTACCCAGCCTGGCACTCGGCATTAAGGGGCTAAAACAAGGACTGGTCGGCTCGGAGTCAGTATACTGTGTCTGAGTGGGGTATTCATGTTAAACTGCGGCATGGTATCTTAGTGAGCTAGCACTATCAATCGGAATCAGTCCGGACTAGCACAAGCAGCCACACAAACACACACACGTACATGCACCTCGCTATATAAGTGCAATAATCTTGGACGCGACGTTAAACCCCATTTCACCTCACCATCTGGTTGGGATGCAAGCAACACATCTTCATCTCATGGAATGGACCAGGCGTCGCAAAAAGTCCTGTGGGATATCTGTCCATATCTGCTGGAGCATGTTTCAAAGTTCCTGGAGTGTCTGTGGAACACGTGGTTGACGTTGAAGACGCCGTTCCATCTCATCCCACATGTGCTCGATTGGTGAGAGATAATGGGGAGCGAGCCGGTCAGGGGATGACATTCACTTTGTTTTGTTGAAGAGAATCCTGAACAAGTTGAGCAATATATGGCCAGGCGTTGCCATGTTAAAAGGTAATGCCTGGGCCATGATGACGCCAAAACCGGTAAAACAACAGGGCCGATGATTTCGTCGCGGTAGCGCTGTCCATTGAGATTTCCCTCTACTATTATCAAACGGGTTATACCGAACCCCATACAATAATGCTGCCGCCCCCAAACCGATCTTCTTCCATGACACAATGATTAACTAACGTTCACCTCGACGTCGGTACACTCGAATCCGTCCATCGCTGTGGCTGAGATGAAAACGAGCCTCGTCAGTGAAAAGAACTTGTCCCCACTGCATGGCCGTCCACTGTAGACGCTGTCTGCACCACTGTCTGGTCGGGTCTGGTGCGGCGACAATCCCTGCACATCTGAGGCGACGACGTTCGGTTTTTGAAGATATTTGTTGAAGGCCAGGGATGCTTCTTGCAGTCACTGTTGCTGGCTGGAATCGATTTCGTAGTTGTGTTGTTCAAATCCAGTTGTCTTTGGTTAAGCATGGTCTGCCACTCCGAGGATGGTATCTGACTGCATTCGTCTGTTGCCAACGTTGCCATAAACACCAAATGGTGTTTCTGTGGACGTTAAATTGTCTTGCAACATCACGTTGACTCGATCATGCTTCAAGCATACCAATGGCTCGCAGACGCTCATTTTCGGACAGGCGTGGCATTTCGTAATGTTGAATAATTGCGTAATTTTGTTGTTTATCTGAGTGGTTGTTGTCAGCACGATGCTAAACAATGCATATAGAATCCCTTCAACGCACATGTTTTTATACCCATTCTTTGGTAGTGAAATGCATGGGGATTGCATAAAAGTCATCTTTTGCATGGAATACATGCTTTTCTGTAGCAGTTGCGTTTTTGTGACTTGATTCCATACATGTACTACAGTATATGAAAACCAAACTGACTTGATTGAAAAATACACTAAAATATTGGTGTCAGAGGAACTTTTGCTGTTGAGTATAATATAACACATTCAACTGAACTGATTCAACGAGGAACAATAATAGAGTTATAATTACCTTGGTTGCAATGTTCCACTCTAAGACATTCCGCTATAGAACAGTTGAACGTACAGCTAGAATCACACCTGCGTCCAGTCAGGTGGCAGCCTATGGTGCAGGTACCAGTCTTCTGATCACAGACACCATCAAAACAAACTTCACACGTGTGCTGGCAGAGTCCACCATAAAAGCCACGTGTACATCCGTCCGTACACTTCCCGCTGTCCGAGTGGCACATGTTGTGAAGGCAGTTGACAGGGCAGGGTTTACAGTCTCTGCCGAAGTGTCCAGGTATACAACCATCTACACAGTCACCTGTAGACTTGCATCGTTTATTGGCGCAGTAAGGACTGCATGGAGAAGAGCACTGTTGACCATGCCAGCCCTCTTCACACCCGTGGATACAATCCCCACTAGCTCTGTGACAGTCACGTAAACCAGCGTTGGATGTCTGTAGAGGCTTGCTGGTAGAAACGTTAGGACTTGGTCCACAATTTTCACTGCACTTCTCGTCACAGAAAATGCTGTAAAATCCAGGAAGACAGCCCTCTGCGCATCCATGTTCACAGGTCCCCAGGCAATGATCACAGGAATAAGCACAGTTTGGACCGAAATATCCTGGGTGGCATTCCTTGCACAATCCTGTAATCGTGTTGCAGGACTTACATCTACTTGAACAAGTCTTACATCCAGTCCCGTAGTAAGAGTCAACACATCCAGACATACAGGAGGAGCCCAGCTGACAATATCCTCCATCACAACCACCTGGACATGCTGTACAGGTACCTCCTGGACTGCCACAGCGTACGTTGCACCCAGGACCTTGATATCCAGAGACACACCCCTTAGTGCAAGCACCTGCGCCAGAGCTTGACAACTGACAAGAGTGATTTCTACAGTTCTTGCTGCATACTGAAGTGCACATGTGATCAAAATACCCAGTGTCACAGTCTGTGAGGCAACGTCGTGTACTTCTGTCACAGTCGGAACAGTGCTGGTTGTCCCTGCACTGGTCGCCTGAAATGGAAAGGAGTACAATATTATTGCAACTATGGCATAAACTGTGTCACCTGAACCCTTTAATAAGAGGACATGTCACATTAACAGCATACAATGACTTCTAATTCAAGAAGGCAACAATATGTTGTTACCATACCACATTTAAGAATATGCGAGCAGTGACTTTGTTACGTTGGGCTACATTTTAAGACAAATTCTGTACACGAACCACTGACTGAGATGTACCAAATCAATTTTGCTGATAAGAGAATGCGAGCAGATAAGAAGATGAGATTACAAGCTAGAACTCTTACCTTTTGAAGAAATTATCAGATATGTCATACAAATGCACTTCAACAGTGCCATGTTGTGTTCTGAAAGCTCAACACAACATGACAACATACAGTTGTGTGTTGTTACTGTAAGCTGTGCCACACTGTCCAGTGTATAACTGGGTTTGTATGTGTGAAGTTGTTTTGTCCTTATTAGCAGTCAGTGACTCACTGTCTAGCAAATTAGTTTAAGGCAATTGTTTTCTTTTCCTCCTCAGCAGGAAAAAAATATATGTTTCTAATATGAGTACACATATTATGCTCAATACATAAGGATGGTCTTTGTATCTATTTCGAAGATTAACCCACACACACTTTAAGGAAAACATATCATCTTTCCAAAATCAAGATATATTTGCAAATATACTAGTGAAGATATGCACTGTAGGCACACCAAACTAACTATTACGTATACCCTGTCGTCAAAGGAACAGAGGTTAACTTTAAAAGATTCGTCCCTTAGATGTGTATGAAAGATGCGATTTTTGGTTTGAATCACAGATCGCGTTGTTTCTCAGTATCACAGACCACACCCGTTCTCGTGAGTTTCAACAATTTGGTAAACGTCCCCAAGACTGTCAGAAGTTCCGATTTTCCTCCTGCATTAGGCCACAAAATGAACAACAATAATGGATAAACGTCGCACGCGATAGGTGAAATGCTTTTTGATGTGAAAACCCCCACAAAAGAAATTTCCGATTAAAATAGTATTTAATACATCTTCTGTAGGAACCCTGCATTCCATTGTGCTTGATATGCATTTCCTTGAAAGGTATGATATAACTTTTTATACTCGTGTCACATGTAAGTAATTTTGCTACATTGGATCAACTGTTGTGACAGAACATATTTGTTTGTAATTCATTTTCCTTAGAAGAAGGAATTTACTTTCTAAACCGAGATTGAAACTAAGCGTCCTTGACCAAAACAAGGATATGTTTTTAGCAAGAACATTTTCCGTGATAATAGAAGCCTGTATTTTTCCAGTTTACAGTTTTGTTTAAAATAGGATGATGGGCTGAATGCCCGAGTTTCATCACAAGCCCAGAAGCATTGATCAGTTATGCTGAGTCAACTACAAAACAAATGTATGGGTTGAAACATTTAACCCACTCCCACCCACCCCTACCCTTGTGGACATTTGATGAAAGGAAAATGAGCTTTCTGCATGAACGCCGCGTCTGGATGACGTCACACATAAAATAGTTCGCCAGCGGAAGGAGAGAACGACGGTGTGTGACGAGGTATGGTGCAATAACGGGAAACCCCATACTATAATTAGTTCACCGTCGACAATTGAAATGTGACATTGCCAGTAACTAATGGCTGTATAAGACGGGAGGGGTTATTCTTTACGATGGTTTATGTATGTATATAAACCTATTTACATTGAGTGATCGGTTAGTCCCGAGTCTGTCCTCATTGGACGTTTTTGTCACCCCTGTGTGTGTCTACACAGTGAAATGAGCCCGGATGTCCGCTTGTTGCATTCAGGTGTGTAAACCACCCGTCTGAGTAGTACTGAAGAAAGCCATGTTCTATTTATTTTCGATTCATTTCTATGGTCATCATGTCTGCTCAAGGTTGGAAAGAATATTTGTCCAGTATTTATTTTAATCCTAATTTCGGTTTCTTGAATATGTCTTTTTGGATTCCAAATATGTATAACAAAGGTCATTCCTTCTGTTTCAGGTGTTGGTTCAACGATGCTGGGACTAGTCCAACTTCTGCTGCCATTCTGTGAGTCACTTGTGTAAAATTATAACTGGAAATGAAGGCAAATGATATAAATAATTAATTAGCCCCTCTGTCTATTTCATTTAAACCACTTGCTATTGATGGACAAGCAGAATGAGGATTGATCTAAAAATAGATGCCATTTGATAAGAAGAGTACATGATTCACATATATGCTTTTGATTAACACAGCTGACTGGTTGCCTCGTCAGTGGATTGAAAAAAACGTAGTTTGCAAATTTTATACGTTAAAGACAGAAGCTCTAGTCATAAGAACAGTAAACGATTCACATGACAATGGATAATGCAGATGTTGACATTCATGACGATGACATGCTAGGATTATCATTTGATACTCTATTTCAGTCGTGGCTGCCCAGGGCTACACCGAATGTAAATGGGGCTTACATGGCGAGCACTGCAACCTACCATGCCCCCAGAACTGTGCCCTTCTTCCTCCACTTGATGTTCCGTACTGTGACACTGACACGGGGAAGTGTTCTGGGGGATGCCAGCGTGGTTGGCATGGTGATCTGTGTGATCAAGACTGCAGCCGGAACTGTCTAGGACAGACATGCATCCATCAAACTGGGCACTGCACACTTGGCTGCAGTGGAAACAACGCTGGACATTTCTGTAATAATACTCGAGGTAGGGTGATTTTAATGAATCAGCTTTCGGTATTATCCTTAAATGAACACTCTCTTATCTACGTTTTTAGAATGATATGAATTTAGCTTTAAGTTAATGAAATGGTACAACAGAATAAACTACACTTTGTTGTTCTGACTGTGATGTTGATAATCAGAACAGCAAGGGTGATTTGTAAATAGGAATTGTGCCCGGAAGCTAAATAGCGGTACATTTTAATTTCAACATTGTAACTAAAGTGTCATGTCATCTAACTTTGCTATTAATATTAAAAATGTGCCAAGCCAACAAAACTAATTTCATACACACAACAGGATCTTTTCAATAATCATAATACTAAATGCAACCCTTTATCTGCTAAAAGCTGAATCGATTGTACAGTTCCGACTTTTTCATGAACATTTGTTTATGAATCACTATCAAATAGTGATGATACCAGGTGTATCCTTCCCCACCAGTGGCATACATGTCTACCATAAGTCTATTTGAAAGCTTTACTGAGACCTTGAATGTTGTAATCTGATCAAACAACTTCTCTCTTGCCTTACAGTCTTGTAGAGAGTTTTATTTGTTGTAGGGAGTGTCTTGCCGCTCTGAATCTTAACGCATAGATCTAAATGTGAAACAAATAAGACGGTCTCACTGGTCTCCTTTATTTCTAGTTCAGGTGGGTAAATCAGTGGAAGGGAATTGGCACGATGACATGCATCAACCAAGTCAGCGAGTCTGACCACCTGATCCTGTTAGTCACCTCTTACGACAAGCATAGTCGCCTCTTACGACAAGCATAGTCGCATGTTATGGCAAGCATTAGTTGCTGAAGACCTATTCTTCCACGGACCTTCATAGGTCTGTTCATATGATTAAACAACCTTGATGAAATTGTTTTTGTCCAGGAAAATGAAACTGTTGAGTGGTTTCTGAAATTTGAAATATTGTAGGTCATTCTGGAAAACTGTTTTTTGTCTAACTTTAAAAAACACTATTAACCATGAGGCCTGAATCTTTTTTAGAAATTAGAATTACATTTGCTCTTGAAAGTCTAAAGGTTTCATCATGGGAAATGCTTGCACCAAGAGAAGTCACCTGACTTGCTGTGATCCAAATAGACATAAACGTGAACTTTGATCTGCTAAATGTTCCACAATTTCATTTTAGACCACGTGAAGGATAAATCATTGATACTTGTATTGATATGGCTCAATTTAGGTTTGACAAATGAGTTTGTGAATAGATCCAGAAAAATGTAGAAACCATCCATTTTATTAACTGTCAACTCTTTTGTTGCCACACATGGTCCACATCTGAAACGAACCATTTACGGTGGTGTAGTCACAATTTGCCAATGCCAAAGGCTCTAGAGAAAATGACTTCAATAAAAAAAGAATGGTATAAATGTTGTTTCAGCTGAAGGCATACAGCTCTTACCTCATTTAAAAGAATGCTATGTCTTCTATAGAGAGTTATGAACTGATGACTGCAAAAGTGGACTGCCCCATACAACTTTCTCTTTCTTAATCGCAGCTCCTTGTCAAATACAATATATTAAAGAAGTACGCCGCGGTGGCCAATTCTCTGTCATGTATATATCATGTGATGACAGAACTCAGAACTTTAAACTAACACTAAACTCTCTAGATTTGCACACAGCTGGATGTCATCAAAATAAGAAACACACATGGAAAAGATCATAATCAAAGTGGAAGAGTGGAAGAGTTCCACTGCTAATTATAACTCAACACATACCAAATAATATTACATTGTGAAATTTATGTCCAAAATATTTTTTTCCAAAATGTTTGCTGTGACGATCTGTAATCTCAACTGATAATTTGGTAACATCTATATCACTTCTCTTTTTGCCTATGTAGACATGTTTCAAACGTCAAAGAAAACTTTCAACATCTGCTCACGTGCACTAGCATCAATTGTATGCCATAAATTTAATTCAGGATCCAATACTTTTGTATGAAGAAAACGATTCAACGACTGTATAGTGCCATCAATAATGTTTATTGTGTCCTAATCTTTTTACACTGAAAATACACAAAATTGTAAAAGGATAACGTAATTAGGGTTTTTTTTCATGCTGACGTGAATGATTCCTCACATTAATGATTTGCTCACAGCTATTTTTATAATAAAGTGCGGAAAAGAAGTTACTTAAACACGTATCTGATACCTTGTTTGCCCAGACTGTGGTCATGGCTGGTATGGCGATCTGTGTCAACACCCCTGCAGCATCAACTGTGTGGAGGAAAAATGCAACCACGCAACTGGAGCCTGTATACTCGGCTGCAGTGGGACTAACAAGGGGAAGTTTTGCAACACTACAAAAGGTACGAAGATACATACCCTTAACATGCAATACAACTTGTCTCATATGTTGGAACATGTTGGGACAAAAACAATGCCACTAAAGGGAGGTAACTTCGAATTACTAGCTGTCAGTGTCACCAGCAAAGGGCGTTATTGTACGAGCGCCTCGATCAATTTACTGTCACTAGATAAATATAGTTACACAATATACTGCCACAAAACATTAGATCGTAAAATATGATGGATATTTGGGCATAAACAATATTAATTATTATGCACGTGGTCAAGAGACAGGTGGTGAGATATTAAATCCGTACACTGGCGTGTCTAGAGGGTTGACATCGTTTTATCCCCTTTGATTGGACAAATATGAACTCGTTTACATATAAACTGTTGTTTTTCCTTCATAAACAATTTTCTTTTGTATGGTCAAGTTGAAACGTCTTTCATTTGGTATATGCCAGACAAAACCAACATCTCCCTTATTATCACTTAAATATGAGTGGGAATCAAATGGTGGCACCCGAAATTTGTGTTACCGATTGTGTCAAAATTTATGGAGAGGTCAGAGGTCAACTGCTCTCTATTATTCAGCCACTTTTGGTGAGTATGACAATTTTATACATCAAAATCGAAATCAAAACACCTGGAGATAAGCTCAATATGACAAATATTTTGGAGAAATTGGAGAGTTCGAGAATTTGAGAGTTCTGAAAAGTAATGAAAACGATATTTTCTTCATTGACGCTCGTTTTCGCAAAAGTAAAATATTCTCTATATGATAATTGTTTGTTTGACTCCACTAGTGAACAACAAGGAAGACACAAACAGCCAGACTGACAAATGGGATTCTGTCGTCCTGAATGTCGTCGGAGCCACACTCATACTCACAGGCGTAGTCATACTCACAGGCATTGTGTTCTTAAGGTAATCATTGTAGTTGCATTCAGTTTTGTGTTTAACTGTGAATTTATGTTTGTATTTCCTGATATATTCAAATATTCATACCAACGTACGTGCAGTTTATCATGACAATGTTCAATGTTATTATTCCGTAAATAACTCAGTTTCGGCAGTACTGTAATTAAATCAAAGTGGGAATTACAATACCTGTGGACCTGTAAAGTTTATTGTTATCTCAGAAAGACATTCCCAACCCTTAAACTCAGTAGCAACTGTAACCACCACATGCCTTGATGAGAGCAACGCATCCAGATGTGAAACCATTAGAACCTGTTTGGGATATTCTTAGACGTTGGCTGCTGGCAATGGATCCACTAGTGCAGAATTCGGCCAAGCCGAAACTACGGTTATATGCTACCTCTACTCGTTCCTGTTCTAGTGCTTCACAACACTCGCACACAAATCTCCCAACGCACTTGGCAACAAAAGTTGATAAAACATGGACAAATATATTTCCCAATACGCACACATATCATACACGAACCACTGTGTTGGGGCCACAACAGTCATTCTTATTTCACGTGAATGGCGTGAAATTATGAAACTGAAAGGTCTCAAAAATAAATAATCCCTCGTGTCAACAATGTCGACATGTCTTCAGCTAAAACAACCATACAACTAGCAGGTTCCTTACCGTCAACCGACATGTGTAACAGCAACCTAACACTGTTACAAAAACGCTTTGTTCCAAATGATACATATTACATATCGAATCTACATAAGACCTCAGATTTCAAGACGCAGTAGGTGTAAATGTAATGACAAAACCATCACTTCCCATTATGTAGCTGTCTGTTTCAAAATGTATTTCTATTTTGCACACATGTTGTTAGATGCGGGGCGTAATATACATTTCTGTTGTACTATGTGCTGCCTTGTTATGAATTTTAACCTTGATTCTGCAAGCACAACACATTTCTCAACGCCCACCGAACAAATAAGTGAGAAAACAGAAAATTCGGAACTGAAAAATATGTTGCACAGAGCCATTTTGAATAATTAGCAGTTTTGCTATGATAGCTTCTGATTTAATTGTCCCGTCAAGTGGCATAATGTTATCTAATATTTCTAGTTGAAATGTTTTGAATAAATTAGATCAATTGTTGAAATCCCTGAGAACAGAAAAGAAACGAATACACCATGGATGTGCACTAAAATTGTCTTTTCTATAGGAAATAAGAACAACGCGAAATGTAGTGACATAGTTCATCAAAATAATGTTACACAAACTTTGCATATTCTATTATCAGGCAGTCAGGAACCTTTCGTCCGTTATTGGGCGTGGTCGAAATATTTGTCAGTTTAAACATAAACGCAACAGATATCGCCTGGTTAGCTATTCAAAGGAATCGATTGAAAATTATTTTTTGTTGCACGTTTGCTTTCAGAAACTGAAACATTACTTTTCATAATAATGTGTAAATGTGATGACAAAACCTTGTCAAATAAAAAATCCAAGAGTCAATAGTACCATTCCTATCCTAAGGATGTGTCTTTCAAATAGTGATGAATAGGTTTATCCATTTCCATGCTCAAAACTAGTTATTGCATTCTGCTGACACTGCGGATCACTTTTAATGGGGTTTGATGTTTGATTGTGTCCCCAGCCTTGTGCTCCCGTGACAACACCATTTAACAGACCTTTGTCTGGAACAACCACGTCATATAATTCGGCATATACTAATGGTATGTTCTAATTACAATGACCAATTCAATAAGTACTTGTGTTATTGTACATTGCAGGTGGTGGAGAGGAAAGAACAGGTAAAACAACATTCTATATCCATAATTCAATTTCAGAGTTTGGTGTACAGTCTACATAGGATATTCCAACCATAGACTAATTTCATGAACCTTCGGCCTGTATAGAAACAGTTTACCTGAAGGACGAGGCACATTGAGGGCCCATTTTTGAAATTTTTTATATTGAATTTTCAAATTTGTGATGCAAAAATGTGCCAAAAGTCCGATGTGACCATTATTTTATGATCTTCTGTCTGTGGAAATAATGTTATGCCAAGTGACATGCAATTTATTATTAATTGGGCGTCTGGGATTCGTATTTTCGAAACAAAATAAATCCGTAAAAGGTTGAGAAGAGTCAGGAATTTCCATGAACTATAATTTCATTATTGTAAAATCTGATGACTAATTTCTCTATTTGCGCTTTTTCAGGAAATGTTTGCTATTGTTTCAAGTTAACCCCGTTAACTGGTCCGATAATATGAAATGGTTGACCCCGAAGATGAAACTGGTAAAAAACACTTGTGTACTGACATGTCTTCTATTTGCAGAAAGCGGAGACAGACGAAAAGGTAAATACAACGATCAATAAATCTGCACTAATGGCTTCACAGCATTGTTTGACATGAACGACATATATCATGTTATCTAATACAAGAATAAATTAATTTGTCATCTGCATCTGTTTTCCGATAATATGAAATGGTTGACCCTGAAGATGAACAAGACTAATATTATGAAATCAGTTGTAAAAAGCACATATTTTTGCAATTTACATGGAATCGCATTCATTAATATGTCCCTTCTTCTTTGTTTCAGTTCCCAAGATCCGAGTAAGTAACATATTTCCACTCTTAAGTAAATAAAAAAAACAAAAAAACAACAACCCAGAACCCCTTGTATGAGAGTTAATAATCAGCATTCAGCTCCTCTGCATGAAACTCACAAAAGAAGGCAAGATCATAACTCATCCAAAGTTAAACTAGCATGGCAATTTTAAAGAATACGACACAAGAACGACGAACAAGGAAATATCCACGTTTGGAAAGTTACTGTGCGGGACATTATGTCTTAATAATTTCATATCTACTATACTATCTTGAAGATGTGTAATACTTTAATGTGTGCGCTATGGCTTATATTCCAAAAGTCCACTACTTTCTAAATGCAATTAACGTGTTCTTCAGAAACGAGATGCATTTGTCCCATGAACAATTTGATCATATAAGAATGCAAGAGTCAAACATATTTCAACTTTACAGCATCCTGTTAATAATTGACTTTTTGGCCAGGCAGTGGATGATACCATACGCAACACCCCACAGCTGCAAACCACGAATGTAGTTTAGGATGCCAGACAAATCTTCATGATGTGTCTGCGTTCAAAGGACCAACGACTTCAGTAAAACCAGATTTCATGTTACGGCATGCAGCTAAATAAATTATCTGAGCTTAAGCGATATGCTACACGTGTTCAACTATATGACACAACTGATGGTGACTCCCCTCCCACCTCTCGAATACCATTTATTTTTCTCGTTTGCTCATCACTAAGTTCGCCTGAAAAGCACAATGTAATCATAGACGAACACTTCTGAAAGTCATTTCGAGGTCATAAAATTGTGAGGTTTGAAGTAACATTACTAAAAAATATCGACTAAATATAAGAAATGTTTACATACACCATTAATATTTTTTAAATGATGAATCTGCACACCATACATGCTATTGTTGCATCCCGCATGCACTGCTGAGTCAGGAATACGCTCAAAATTTGATTTATATCTGATGTGGTTCTGTGCTTAGGTTGATTTGTTGTGGAACCTCTGCCGCTAGGTGAAAGCAGATGAGTTCCAGTTCGAATGACTTTACTTCCGGTCTTAGAAAGAACATTCTTCATGCATTAAACCAGAATATCTCATAATTCTAGCTCGGGTTGAAGGGAAGTGTTTGCTACTGCTGGTTTGATATGCTACACGGGAATACACGATAGGCTACATGTGCGCATTGAGATGATACATTAAAAGTGGAGAGATTCTTACTGGTCGATTTTGCTTTGTGTTAATTAAATGTCTATCAAAGAAGTTGTGTTTACTATCTAAATATCTATATGTACCAACAATCAAGCTGATCCAAAAGGGGATGACACATAATAATTATGTTCTAAGGACTCTTTTGAATTTTGAAGAATACATATGTTTCACCAAAGTGAGAGCTGCCTTGAAGTGATGAAGTGTTCAATGAGGAAACACTACGACACGATAACATAACCACAAAGCTTATGCAACTGCAAAAATAAATTGATCAACCTTTTATTTCTTCATCTCAGAGATTCACCCAAGGAAGAGCCTGCGGTATACAGGGGAGGTTTGAGTGAAGGTGGACACAAAATAGTATATCTAGCTGTATTGAAGAATCCCGAAGCAATAGATTAATAAATTATTTCACTGTCATTTACAAATAATGATAAAACAGGGCAACACAAATAATTTCCTTTTTTTATGGAGATATCACTGCTAAAACCAGAGTCGATTTTAGATTCCGACTACACCATAAGCATGTGTTTATGAATCACTGTCAAATAGTGATGACACCAGGTGCTCGTGACAAGGTGAGGAAACCCTGCCCCACTGGTGGCACCCCGTCACAAACACACGCAAAGGCACTGAAAAAAATACGGGACATGTGGTAAAAGTAAAAATAAGGAATTGCATCTGACAAATATGGAAATGTCCTCCAAAGGTCTACCATAAAACGTTTTGACAGGTTCACTGAGGCCTTGGATGAACTTCTGAAGAAGAGTCGCATTATTCTCTTTAGCATCTTAGTAGAAAGAGCTAAAAAGTTATTAAATGTAAACACCAAGGGCTGAAGATGCTTGATTATTTATGGACATGAAATATTCATCTTACTGACTTTCACCGACGTTTATATTTATATAGTGAGTAGGTTGGCTCTACTTTCAACACGTTTGTAGATTTGGCAGATACCAAGAACGTATTTCAATGTCGATATATGATTCAATATAGCTACAAGCATCCATATAACAAGGTCCATTTGGATTGGCTATCATTTGACTACACTGAAAATAACCCTAATGACACGAAATTCTTCATGGCTTTAGCTTTGGCTCACTTAACATTCAGGTTACTTATTAGATAGTGTAATGGTTCAGCTCATTTTTAAAGAAAGTTATTAGATTAGTAATCAGTTTTGGGTAATGTCACCACAGGTTTGTGAAAAAGCTTTCCAGTTTGGATGAGTTTACTTCTGGTTTTAGAAAACATTGCATTCTTGCATTAAACCATAATATCACATGATTCTAGCTCAGTTCGATGCGTAGAAATTGGTTGTTTGAAAACTATTATTTCCTGCATTAAAACTAAAC